TCTCTCCAAACATGGTGAGGAACATGGTGAAATTGATGGGGCCCGGGGCCTCATTCATCATGGCATCCAGGTAGGCGTCGGTGGGATTCTTGCCTGTAAGAGGACACGTAAACCCACGTCATGTGGCTCGCCTGGCTGCTCCTATGCTGCCAACCATACTGTTAAGAGGGTCAATAGCATTACTCTGTGTTCGCGCCCCATGTCCCATGTGTGGAGGCCTGAGGACAACTTTCAGGAGTTGGTTCTCTCTTTCCACAACGGTTCCAGGGACCAAACCCTACAGGCTTTGGACATAAGCACCTTACCTTTCCGTGCTGAGCCATCTTGCCAGCTTCTTCATCACTTTTTCATTAAAAAACAAAACCCCAAAAGTCTCAAGTTTTGACAGGGAACACCACACTATCACATGTTGTTGATTCTACACTGGTTCATCAGGGGTTGTTATTTTAATACCAGTTATTTAAAATAAAAAAAAAAAAAAAAAAACAACGTATAAGCAACCATGCCAGACTTGAACTGGGGTGCTCACCGTCTTGTTTGTAAAGAGAATCCTGATCTCAGTTCCTACTGAGAACAGCTCTCGGGACAGTGGCCAGAGACCTGACAGGGAGGGAAGCAGCTGTAGAGCTCCCCACAGGAAAGGTCTTGAAACCAGTTCTCCAATTGGCTATGAGGTCTGGAGAAGGTGGAAGAACGGGAACTCAAACCCAGCTCTCCAGACATCGAGGTTAGTGCCAGCCGGCCCACACAACCTCCTTTAGTCTTCACCTGTGAAAACGGCGGCTAACGCCAGTATCTTGAAGGTCCCTCAGACAGCAAGCTGACACACGTGAAAAGAACCATGTTGGTTGGGTCTTCAGATCTAGCATCTCAGAACTATACCAAACTAGAAGCTGATGGCGGTCCAGTCTAGAACTTGGGGGGACATCTAAGAAACCCATGGACAGCTATTTCACTGCATGGCAAATCCACCTCACTACACCCACTTAGCTCATCTGCACAACAGGAGCCACTGAGCAAGTGAGTTCGAGGCCAGCCTGATCTACAGAGAGAGTTCCAGGACAGGCTGCAAAAGCTACAGAGAAACCCAGTCTCGAAAAACAGAAAAATCAAAAAACAACAACAACACAAAAACAACCCCACTTCCCTGTTTGGAGAGCAACTGTCAGGCAGCCTTCCAGGAGTGGAGGGCAGGGGTGACTGCAACCCAGAGGTTCAAGAGAGTTCTCAGAGCGAAGTAGGAATTGAAAATGGATCTTTTTAAAAATGTGTGTGTAGCCAGGTGTGGTAGCATACACCTTTAATCCTAGCACTAGGGAAGCAAAGGAGGTCCGGTCTACAAAGCAAGTTCCAGGACAACCACACAGAGAAACCTGTCTCAAAAAACCAAAACAAACAAAAAACAAAACAAAAACAAACCAAAAAAAGGGCACGCGCACGTGGTGAGTGTGTTTGTGTCTGTTGATGGTACATATAAAATGTGTGTGTACCAGCGCTGTGGAGCACACGTGGAGGACAGAGGACAATGTCCAAGATCCAGGGCTCTCCATCCTGGGGTTCACACAGAAGGCACCAGGCTCAGCAGCATGCACCTTTAACCTCTATGTTTTTTTGGAAAAAAAATAAAAAAATTCACTTTCTTTCTTTCTTTAGAAAAAAAAATTCAATTTCAATTCCTTCCTTCCTTCCTTCCTTCCTTCCTTCCTTCCTTCCTTCCTTCCTTCCTTCCCTCTCTTTTTAAATTATAAAAAACATTACTGTGGAAGTCTCTTTCCCAGGGGTCCACTGTTGGTTATGAAGTGCTTCCTCTTTGTCCATTTGCTCATGGCCTGTCCTCCACCCACAGAAGATTATTGGCTGCATTTGTTAATGTGCCTTCTGGTCTACTGCACACAGCCACCAGCATGCGTGCGCACACGCGCGCGCACACGCACGCACATACGCACGCACATACGCACGCACACACCACACCCCCCCCCTTCGGGCTCACACAGACACAATCCACTTAGCTAACAGGAACAGTATCTGCCAGGTTTCCCCCTCTAGAGCTGATTTCCCCCTCGCTGGGCCCAGCCCTGAAAAGGCCCTCCCACACCTGAAAGCTTTTCAAAGGCCAAATGGCCGAGAATTGAGCCACAAGACGAATGAGCCAGAGAGGGATCCCCGCCAGGGAGAGGCACAAAGGCTACCTAGAGAAGCCAGCATGTCATGCAGGTCCTCCTTGTCGATGAAGCCGTCCCGGTTCTGGTCGATCATGTTGAAGGCCTCTTTGAACTCTTGGAT